CCTCCTGTCTCAGGGTTGTATATTATGCACCCTACAATGAAATTATTCGTTTTTGTGTCCATATCTTTTCCAAGGCTATGGACCACTTGGGGGCAGGTCAAGGGGTAAGTCCCCACTTTAGTCATTGTAATTCTCACCACTTCAATCCACCGATGGCCCCCACTAGCTGGTTCCAGCCAGCCTGGGATTTGGTGTCTCAGGTATCATTGCTGTATTTCTACCTTCCACACCAACAATGTGGCCAGCCTTTTGTTGCCAGCCAAACTGGGAGCCCAAACATTGGGGAGAGTGTAGATAGCTAACGTTGGTTTGGCCCAGGATTTGGGACTGTTCTTCTGCCTTCCTACGCTGACTCACAGACTCAGCTTGCAGTTGGCCTGGGTACCTTGCCGAGAAGTCCAGTTCTCTCTAGGCTTGGAGGCTGTCCTGACCATGGTCTGTTCCACTTGGGCTAACATACACAGTGGGCGCTTTTGATAACTATCTACTGCAGGGGTCCTCAAACTTTTTAAACAGGGGGCCAGTTCACTGTCCCTCAGACCGTTGGAGGGCCGGACTATAGTTTAAAAAAACACTATGAACAAATTCCTATGCACACTGCACATATCTTATTTTGAAGTAAAAAAATAAAATGGGAACAAATACAATATTTGTATTTGCATGTGGCCCGCGGGCCGTAGTTTGAGGACCCCTGATCTACTGAATGAATGAACACAAGCCCTCCCATTTTACTTCATTAAAGATGAGTATGTTTAACCTTACACATACTACTTAGGTATCTGATTTCATCTGACACTTAGTTTTGCTAGGATCACTATCAGGAGTGAAAAGACTGAAGGCAGATGGTCAGATCGCTGGGGCAGCAGGTAGTCACTGACAATGGGGAGTGGTCAGAGAACACAGGCAATGGCAGGAGAGAACAGAGGGAAAACACTAAGCAGAGCAGCATAGTCATGTAGGGCCGTTGAGCCTAGGAGCAAATGGCTCTCTGCATCTCAAGAGGTCCCAGTGCTTTACTGAGTGCCAAGGCCAAACACACAGGCAAAATGGTTGGTAAAATTCAATGAAAAAAACGGCAAGACCCATCCAATTCTATAGCTCTGGAGGGCATCGATACATCCAAGTACCATGCTCAAAACAAGGACCTGAGTCATCAAGAAAAGGTTAAATGATATTCAGTACGCTCTGTCAACAGGCCGTAAAGAGCAAATACATTTTAGAAACATTTCCTTCTATAAATGCGTATTTTCTCATTGATGCTAGAGCTTAACGTAGTGAACTGCAGTTATCTAGACAATTAGGGCCACCTTATTCTCCAAAGATCTCAGATGGATAAGGCACCATGGCACACATAGGCACACATCACTTACAATAAACCAAAGTTCTTTCTAACACAGGTCCTCAGGGACTTGGAGACGGCCTGATTAAAACCTGAGGGTTTTAAAATAAGTTCTTTTAAGAGAAACAACTCTGAGGCATCAGCTGTTATCTTTAAGACATCACTCATATCCTGAATTATCTAGCTCCAAGCCAGACTAAACTCCACCCACCCAAATTAATCTGGATCACCCAGATTTCTGATTGGAGCTTGATTCTCCTGTTACCTTGGCTACCCTTCTAGTTCCTATTCTATGGCCCAAGATTCATCTTCATGATTCTTACTCCTCTGTTTAACTTTTGGTGTCATCTATTTGGATATCTGGTGTCTGACTTTGGCTTTGTCCCATGATGCCACCTCCTGACTCCCAGATTGGCTCTGACATTCACTTCTGTCCACTCCAGAGATGGCTCCTGCCTACTTGGTCTTGTTTTACTACTTTTTTATGCTTTGCCAGGCTATGCCAGGAGGTCAAGCTGCATCCACATAATAATGAAGTATGTTACACTGGGCTTTGCTTAGCTATTTAAAATAAATTTTTAAAAAAATTTATTTCAGAAAGGATGGGCGAGGGAAAGAGCAAGATAGAAAAATCAATGATGAGAGAGAATCATTGATCAGCTGCCTCCTGCACGCCCCATAGTGGGGATCAAGCCCGCAACCCGTGCCTGTGCCCTTGACAGGAATCGAACCCAGGACCCTTCAGTCCACAGGTCAATGCTCTATCCACTGAGCCAAACCAGCTAGGGCTTCTTGGCTATTTTGTATATGACTTTAAATACATTCATCTTGTTTGAATTAGGCTCCCTTAAAGGTGGTACTTTTTTTTTTTTAAATCCTCACCTGAGGATATTTTCCCATTGATTTTTAGAGAGAGTGGAAGAGAGGGAGAAGGGGGAGAGAGAGAAATATCCATGTGAGAGAGAGACATCCATAGGTTGTCTCCCACAAGCACTCCGACCCAGGGCCGGGGATCAAGCCTGCAACTGAAGTGCCCTTGACTGGGAATCAAACCTGAGACCCTTCGGTTCATGAGCCGACACTCTAACCACTGAACAAACTGGCTAGGGCTAAAGGTGGTACTTTTTTCTTTATTGATTAAGGTATTACATGTGTCCTTATCACCCCATTGCCCCCTGACCCCCCCGACTCATGCCCTCACCCCCCTGATGTCTGTGTCCATTGGTTAGGCTTATATGCATGCACACAAGTCCTTTGGTTGATCTCTCCCCATTACCCCCACCCTCCCCTACCTTCCCTCTGAGGTTTGATGGTCTGATTGATGCTTCTCTGTTTCTGGATCTGTTTTTGTTCATCAGTTTATGTTGCTCATTATATTCCATAATGAGTGAGATCATGTGATATTTATCTTTCTCTGACTGGCTTATTTTGCTTAGCATAATGCTCTCCAGTTCCATCCATGCTGTTGCAAATGGTAAGAATTCCTTCTTTTTAACCGCAGCATAGTATTCCATTGTGTAGATGTAAGGTGGTACTTTTTTATCTGACTTTTCTCTAAAAGTGTGTAAACAGTACACACTTTGATTGACTATCCTTTTCACAATGGAGTATATCTCATGCCCAAGAAGTAAAATGGCTCAAGTCCTAGCTGGTTATATTTACTCAGGAATAAGAGCCCTAAAAGTCAGATGCAAATGAAGATAGTTAATTGCCTTGTGGGATCTAAAAGGGGAGTCTTAGCCCTAAAAAGACATTATGAAAGAGGTTCTCACACTTCAATGTGCAAAGAGTTAACTCGGAAGCTTGTAAAAATGTAGAATCCTGGGCTCCATCCTTAGAAAGTCTAATTCAGTGATCTGGGTGCAAGAATCTGCATTTTTAACAAAGAGCCTTAGATATCTGATGCAGTTGGCCCTTGGACTACCCTTTGAGAAACACTGTATCACAGCAGTGAGAAATCTGATAAACATGGGACAAACACAGTAATTAAAGGACCCCATCAATCCTCTCCTTCTTAGAAGATATGATGCACCTTAGAAGCTATGATGCATTTGGCCAATTCTTTCCTAATACTCTTATTACTGAACATCAGTTCAGTTCCAAGACCAACTTATATTTGTTTTGGTGAAGACAATGTAAAATCTCCAAGTTTCCATAAAGTTTCCATATGTGCCCTTGACTGGAATTGAACCCAGGACCCTTCAGTCTGTGGGCTGATGCTCTATCCACTGAGGGCAGTGCTACTTTAAATAAGGAATGGAAATACCCATTTGATACAGAAAAACCTTCAAATTAACTCTTCAGCAGTACATACTAGTATATTATTGGTGAAGAACTTCTGTACCTGGCCGGTCTGATGCCCAGGGGCCTGGCAGACGAAGAGCAGTGGAGCCCAGGAAGCATGGACAGACCAAGTGTCCTTGGGCACATCCCTAAGCAATCCTAGAGGGGAACCTCAGGAAAATAAGTTTATTTGGGAGGATTCTGATGGGGATAGGATGCTTTTGGAATCCAAGATGACAGAAGATATTGATGAGCTATCAGATCCAGGGGGCCTGTCTGATATTTGAGATAATGGGGGCTCCATTTGTTTCAGGACGATGCCTCCATGTTTGCACTACCATGGCTTATGGCTTGCAGGGGATATATGGACTGACTGATGCAACCATTAAGGATGTTAGAGCCCCATTCTTACTATTACTGGGATATGTGTACGCATTTGTGTTTTTCCTAGGAGGATCTTTATTTTTTCTCCCAAATCTCACAACTGGTTATACAGATGTTTAATTGAGAGGAATAATTATGAATTACATTTTTTTCTTTCAAACTTTCCTATCTGACTCATTTATCGCCTTCATTACAAGTGTTCTAAATATTGTAAAATTCAAGTTAAAAAAATAAACATTGCTAGTAGGCAAGCCCAAGTCTAGAAAAACTCAGTTTAAAAAAAAATTAATGTTTCTTAATTGAGAGCCTTGTGTACTGTAAGAATGCTAATTCACAGAATAAAGGAATTTAAAGTCAGAATAAAAAGTAGACAAAGTTGACTGAGAAAGAAATACAGGCAGATTAACTCCAGGAAGGCCAAGGGACAGTGAAACTCGATGGCTAAGAATGACCACAGGTAGAGAATACCAGTTAAAAGCGCACAAAGTTAGGAGTATATTCTGGGAAAAATGCCTAATTAGGAAATTAAAGCTGAACTGTTGACCTAGAGCTTTCGAACACTCTGATATGCTTTGGGTAAATAAAGCAAGGAAGAGAAATTGTATCCGACTTCTGTTTGCTATTCAACTCTGACCCTTGCCTACTGAATGACTTCAAATATCTGTTATGGGAAAAAATGATACCACTTTAATTTCCGGCTCCATCCCCATCTGGCCAGGGAGAGAATAAATTAATATTATCATGTTGTGTCTTTAGGGCCTTTGATACCCTCGAGGACAAGCCTGTGGGACAGTCTGCTTTGGCAGTGATTCTCAGCCAGAATCAGAAGAGCAAGATTCAGGACAAGGCCAGTTCACGTAACACAGCTCAGAGCCATACAACACAACTTGCTCCGAGGATGTTGGGCATTGTGCTTCATTAGGAAACAAAATATAAGCTTTCCACACCATTAGGAATGACTTTAGGAGTGAAAGCACATAAGACGATGCCTCACCTCATCAACAATGCACTGTAGAAGCTGGAGAGGCTGCAATGGGAGAGAAGAGGAAAAAGTATTAGCCTCTATGCAATATCTTTACAGTGGAGTGGAAAGAAAAAATCATTAATGCAATAAAATATAGCAAGATTAATCAACAACAGCAAACTCTTATAAAAACATTGATGCTCAGGATGTTCTATTATTTCTAATGGTACCTAATCTAATACAGGCAGTTAAAGGTTTGCATTTTCTTCAAAATGCAATTTGCTAAGTTTAAAACAAGGCATTCAAGCATGCAAAGGGAGCAGCCATCAGGAAAAAGAAAAGTGAATTTTTTTCTGAAGTCATAAAGCTTACCATTAAAGATCCCTGGTTTTTCTGAATCTGAAAAAAGGCAATATGTAATTAGCATGTCATAATCAAAATGACTCACTTGGACACATTATGATCACTGAGAGAAAATTATTGCATTGCTGGTGGCAATTTGTGGGCATGTGTTAACACAATTTACATAATGAAAATACACAAATGTTAATAGCTCGCTTCTCATTTATAGGCGAAAGTCAGCAGAATGTTAATTTCACACAACACTTTTTAGTACCCTCCAGGTTGTATTAGAATAGGGAGAAAAACCATAATCCATTTCAAAAGGCTGTTTACGATTCAGATATAAATAATGTTTTATATTGCTAGATTGTGAACACTGGGCTTAATGTTGCAATCATTGCTAATGTTATGAAGCTCACTCTTTTTAAATTAAAAACCGATTTATTTAAAATTGAAATTAAATCATAGTCAGAAATTAGAATTTTGGATTCCTGCCAGTGTTTGCTCACAATCCCCTATTTTGTGAAGAAAACTTTAATTATGTTGTTGAAGAATTTGTCTCTAACTCAGGAGTAGGGTGAAGGCACCACCTTTTCCCAAGTTCCTTCAGCCTGTTTCCAGGGCAGCTATGCTCTCTGGGAAAATCAAATCCATGCAAGTTTTACACAGCTTTTCAGGGGATAAAGTAGAGTGAAGGAAGAAATGCCTGGTCCTGATCAACATTCTAAAGGCAGGCTGCTCACACATCTAGCACCGATAAACCATCTCTCTTAGAAAGTTACTAAAATATGACACCAAATTAATAAAACATCCACTGTAATTAAAGTATTAAACACTCTAATGCCCCCCTCCCTATGAAAATGGAGTCCCAGGTACTAAATTTCCTCAGAAGGAAAATTTCAGAAATGAAATGACTGACAGGTCAGTGGTTGCTGGCCTAACTGAGCTGCAATCAGCTGGTAAAATATAGGAAAAATAGTAATAGTCCTCCATATGTTTTTAAAAAAAATATATTTTATTGATTTTACAGAGAGGAAGGGAGAGGGATAGAGAGTTAGAAACATCGATGAAAGAGAAATACCGATCAGCTGCCTCCTGCACACCTCCTACTGGGGATGTGCCCACAACCAAGGTACATGCCCTTGACCGGAATTGAACCTGGGACCTTTCAGTCCGCAGGCTGATGCTCTATCCACTGAGCCAAACCAGTTAGGGCCTCCATATGTTTTTTAAAAATGTTTAATCCTCACCAGAGGGCATGTTTATTTTTATTAAAAAAATCTTTATTGTTCAAAGTATTACATGTATCCCCTACTTTCCCCCTCATTGACCTCTTCTAGACCACCTCCACCCCACACCCTAGGCCTTCACCACCCTATTGTCTCTGTCCATGGGTTATGCATATATGCATACTAATTCCTTCCTCTGAGATTCCACAGTTTGTTCCATGCTTCTATGTCTCTGGATCTATTTTGTGCATCAAATTATTTTGTTCATTAGATTCCACATATGAGTGAGATCATGTGATACTTGTCTTTCTCTGGCTGGCTATTTCACTTAATATAATACTCTTCGGGTCCCTCCATGCTGTCTCAAAAGTGTGAGATATCCTCCTTTTTTACTGCTGCATAGTATTCCATGGTATAAATGTACCACATCTTTTTTTATCCACTCATGTACTGATGGGCACTTGGGCTTTTTCCAGATCTTAGCTAGGGGTGCACATATTCTTTCTGACAGGTGTGTCAGGTCTCTTAGGATGTATTCCTATAAGTGGGGTCACTGGGTCAAATGGCAGAGGACATGTTTATTACTTTTAGAGAGAGTAAGAGAGGAAGTAAGGAGGGAGGGAGAGAAACATGGACTGGTTGCCTCTCATATGCGACTGAATCCTGGCTGAGAACTGAACCTGTGACCTTTTCGTGTACTGGACAATGCTCTGAGTCACACTGGCCAGGGCCCCTCATATGTTCTTAATGATGCTTTAAAAAGTTCTTTGATCTGCACAACCACCTTGAGGATCTCTATTCTATGCTGGGTAACTGGGCCTCTCAGAGGATGGGGCTGCAGGAACAGGCTGTGGTTGTGCTGGGTCTTCTCCAGTGCTCCCCTCTCTCCAGAATCTGCATTACATCTGCCTACAGTCATAGTATTGCTTAAAAACCATTAGATTTGCATATATATTGGGCATGGTCAAGTTGATAAAGTACGATTTTGGTGTGTGGGTTCTTTTCAACTAGACTCTAAGCTTCTCAAGGGCAGAAACTGTGTTGTCATTTCTTTTGCATCCATAGGGCTGATCAGCAGACCCTGCCACCTAGTGCTTCAGTGTTTAAAGAAGTGCCTTTCTATGTATTATCTCGACTGAACATGGTGCCCACCATCACCCCCTTATCCTTATCACCCCCTCCTTCCCCAAACACCATTCCCAGAAACCTTTGTCCCAGGCTAACTGGCTCTTAATCTACTTTAAAAAAATTAAAAGAATTCAATTACAGTTGACATTCAATATTATATTAATTAGCTTAATGTTGTCTTAGTTATTGTTCCTTGATCCTCTATCAACGAGAATTTCTGGATAAAGCTCTGCAAGTAAAGATTTCTATTAAAAAGCAAGACAAAGCTGTTAACTACCACCCTGGAGAGGTTAAGGATTTTAGTAACAAGCCACACCTCCTTTAAACAATCTTGACAAGCCCAGGTAACTGTGCTTTTATGTATGTTTAAGTGCACATCGACCCCCACCTGCCCCCCTTCTTGGTAAGATTTATCTACTTCAAGGGGAGAGTTATTTGTAATGAACAAGGAATTAGAAATCTGTTTTGACCTCAAAGAGAATGTTTTCCACAAATTTCCAACAGTCATGGGGATTATAACATTCTCTGAGGAAAACATGCGGCAAACATTCTAAGTGAGATGTTGCAAAATGAATTCAAGAATGGATCGCGAGACAGTGTTCCCAGTAACATGAGTGGTAGAAACCCAGTGAGTGGAAGGGAGGACATTTCCGTAGGAGCCGGGCCTTGGAGAAGGTCTCCTCCGCCGTGCCTTATTTGGTGGGTTTAACGCATGGTTTAAGACAACTTAAAACAGCACTACTTTAATGCTGGCTCTTTACTATAAGAAAGGGAGAAACAGAAACAGCGAAGTCTTTTTCTATGATCTTATAACTATTCTGTTTTGCCCAGATTTTTAGAGAGACATTGTTACCAGGTTTTATTACACCGTTTTGATAGTAACATATTGTATGAAATCATCTTCATAAATTTTGTATTAAGGTAGCAGTGCCAGGACCTGAAATTGATTCAAAATGTTTAAGATACTCAATTACTTTTTAACACTGTTACACAATGCGGTGACTTATATCTTCCATTTCCCAAGAATCTGATGATGCAACATCACTGTAATTGATTCATTTTCTCAATTAAATAAAGCTACTGTGCTTTTCTTTATATGAATGCCACATAGACCATAGAGTTAGATGTATTATCTCCTTTCTCTGTCTCAGATATATTGCCTTAAAGGCTATATTCCGTTCCTCTGTTAATTCCACCAGAAAATTTAATGCCACAGTCATATTTTTCAAATTCTGATCTGCTATGTACTCGACTGTATTTATATTAGGCGTATTTTTCACTGCTAAACTCTTTGTTGTTTACCTTTTTCAAAATCACATTACAGTACAGCGCAGCAACCATAAAACAGACACAAACAAAGTCAGCCTCCAGTCCCTGCCTCTGCTTTGGCACACAGTTCATGAGGAAGTGAAGCCCCCACTTTAACAGCACATTAAAAGTGGTGCTGAGGGTCCTCAGTATAAAATGTTAGCTTTGTGAATGCCTCTCTTTATTCTGGGTCTGCCTTCCAAATGTTCAGCTGTGGGAGCAGAGTTCAGAGGGACACAATAACATTGTTAGAGCTGATGTATTGCCTGCACCGTACAACATATGAAATGCTGTTTATAACCAACTTGTCCAAGTCTCCCTTCTTGCTTATACATTTTGCTTGTGTTGAGTTTTCTATGTCTAACTTTGGGACAATGAACAGAACAGTAATTGCTCCAGTCTTACCTTTTGCTAATCAGTTTCTAAAACTAGTAGCACTTTGATACACTAATTAGATGAACCTCTTCCTTCTTCCGGGCATAGCTTTTCTCTTTTGCCAGCCCTTAGATCCAAGATTTCAAGTTATACTAACAAGAATTAGTTATGCCTCACTGTGATGTAAGATAGGCCGTTATGTGGTTAAACAGGGAAGAATGACTTCATAACAGCCAGGCAAAGTATCAGTTAGGTATCAGGATGTCACTGCAGTAACATTTATCATATATTTCTTTGTAAGGACCATATAAGTAGCAATTAGAAAGGTTCCCATAACATGACTTAAGACTTTGGAAAATGAGCCTGGAAAGATTTCCAATGCAAAAGTTTGCCTGTGGGGTTTTGATTCTGGGGATAAAAAGCAACGTTGGAAGTTTCACATTATGCTCCTATATCTGCAGATGTACTTTTTTACAGACAGTGGTAACACTGACGTGACTACCAGCCATTTTACATTATATTCAGAAGCACAATCAGAAAACTAAAATGAATCCACCTATGTAACTTAAAGAAGACACCAGCTATAGCTTTCATTTTCTCTTTTACTCTCTGAAATTATGGCTTGCCCTGCAGCTGTTGTCTGAGAGATTTATGTGTGACCTAGGTCAGATCTTCCAATATCAGTTGACAAATTCTCTCTTTACATATTTACTGCTTTCCAAGCTTGTGTTATTTTTCTCTTAAATAGAAAAAAAGAAATATAAAATTAAATCACATGGTTGGAATTTTTAAAGAATATCATTTTTATTTGTTATGCCACTGACATCACATTTCAGCTTTCAGGTTGAACTCTGCTTTACTCTTTTTTAAACTTCAAATTTCAAGAACTGTGGCTACATTGCAAAGATTCTCCTTTCAAGTCAGTTGCATTAAGCTAAATATAAACAGGGATTAAGGTAAACTGAGACTTTCATATTCTAAATGGGAAGAATGACCTAAGGAATATTTGAAATGGAA